AACTCGTAATTAAAGCTATCAAATAGTATAGTGGAAACAATATGTCCCTCTGAGATGTAGTGGAGTACAAGCATAGAATAGCAGAAAATGGAGATACTCAAGTTAAGTGCAAGTATCTCAAAACTGAGTGTGCTCAGTTACTTTTTACCACTAAGCACAAATACAACATACAATAGTATAAGTTGTTTTCAAAGGTTACTCAGATATGTACAGGCATTCTCATTTCCAGCTATTCAATATCTAAACAGACAAGTCACTTGTTTGACATCTTGTTTCATGTTGATATCAACAATATCAAATATCAAATACCTCCTTTGACTTTCAAAAGATAGGGGAATTAAATTCACTGGACACTCTGAAGCCATTGCTCTTTTCCAGGAGGATCAGCTTTATACCAGCATTTTTGTTATAGCACACAATTTGACCTTTTTCAGTTTATTTCCTCTAAACCTCTTGGAACCTCTGGGAAAATATATATATATATATATAAGATTTATGTCTCATAGGGACCAATGGGCTTTGAGCTGAGAGCCACAGACAGGGTAGCAAAATCAGGAAGTATCGAGAGATGACTTAAACGTCATTGGTTTTGGTCTTTAATGGCTTTTTTGGAAAATAATATCAGTACTGAATAGCACTAGCTGCCAGCCCATTCTGTGCAGCATAGTCAAAAGTCACCTGACTTGTTTTTTTTCCCCTTGCTCTTTCTCAGCTCATTAGAGCTGCTGGAGGCTGTAGGCTACTGATAAGAAATTTTAGTCACAAAGCCAAGCAACAGATTTTCCAAAAGATAAATACTTGGTTGTTTAACAAATCCACTGCACAATAAAACCTGTTTTTAACATGTTTCCTAAGTTGCAACAATTTTTCCTTATCCAAGAGGATAGCTGGGGGTGACATGTCTTTTCCTTTAATTCGTACAACACGAACCAAAATTGCCTCATAAATGTACAAAAGTTAAATTAACTTAATTAGTTTCTCCTCCTCCCTAAACACACTCCTCCATCTTTTTCACCAAGATGCAGGCCCAGAGTGGGGTGGAGCTGTCCATGCTAGGCTTGTGGAGTTTAGGGAGGGTCAGTAGGGCATGGAGAGCTTCCTCAGAGATCTGAGCACCATCTTCCCCCAGGAACGCTGGCTCCAGATAAACCATGAAATAGGCAAGACTGGCTTCACCTGCCAGTTCCTCAAGCAGGATCAGCTTAAGACCCTCAGCCTGATTAACACTGAGTTTATACAGTGGTACTGGAGGTCTCTTCTAGCAGATATTAACTTCATATCACTAGTTTCAGTTTATGTCTAATTGCAGAGGCTTGTGCAATTTGGAAAGAATTGATTTAATTGAGTAATGTCATAATTTTCAGGTTTTGGGGTGGATTGTTTTCCAGATGTATTTAGAATTACTCAGTTTTTCTGTGGCAAATACTTTAGTTTCTGACAAAGAAAGCTATCAAGAGTTGATAATGAATTATGTTTTGTCATGGCCAGATGGAGGAGTAGTTCAGTGGGAAACTAAGAAGAAAAATTAGAAGAAAGAAGAACTTACAGTCTACAGACCAAACACTGCAATGGTTTTGATGGCATGTGAGTCATTTAATTCATCTTTAGAGAAAATGCCAGTGTCAATAAGACAAGTTTCTCTAAAAACGATTTTCTTTTTACTGTTATATTTCCGATAGATTCCAGGTGACAGTATTTCTAGATTTCAAAATAAAGGATTTGAAAGTAAAACTGTAGATAAAAAAATATACACAGATAACAAACTATGCAAAGGCAGGCCCTCTGAACCTTTTTTTAGGGGGCAAGTTAGAAGTAAATGGACACACACACACACACACACACACACAAATTGCTCTCCAATTATAGTAGTAGGATGACTTTTTTTTTATGTCTTATTATGACTTTTATTGGCTTTTTGTATCTAACATTTAATGCTTGAGTTATACTTGCTTAGCCTGAGTGCATATGAAGGTTTTATAAAGTAATTCTTAATTTCTTTAGGCTTTAATGTACTTTTCCTCATTAGGGCTCAGAAAGCAATTAAGGGAGAAACACTAATAACCAATCTGACACTCTCAGAATAAAAGTACTTAAGGCATGTGTTGTATTGAGTTTACTCAAAATGATGTGTACACTTTGTTTAAGAGATTTAGGATCACTAGCCAGGTACTATGTGGATGATTGTTTAATGGCACACAAACAGTATATGAGTCTAACTTGAGATCAATAGTTAATGAGACAAAGGGATAATGTGGCTTTTAAAATTTCAGTTAAATCATTTTGTGATTGCGTGAGGCCTGTTTATTTCATTGCATAAGTTGTTAATTGCTGAACTTTAACAACGCTAAATAACAGGTCTAAACATGCAGTTATATCTTCTTCTTCTTCTTTTTAATGGCAACTTTCAACCAGGCAGTTTGACATATCCTATTAGAGGTTTTAAAGTGGATCTCCCATGTTGCCTAACATGTGAGACCACAAGTTTTATTACTAGAGGATATTGAAATTTTATGGGCGATAACTGTAACTCTCTTTAATAAATCTACTTAATGAATTGATCACTGATTGATGGCTCATCGTATTATCTATGATGATATCATTCAAGCTGTTGCTGCCAGTCTGCTTCATTACGTGTGTGTGTGTGTGTGTGTGTGTGTGTGTATATATATATATATATATATATGTGTGTTTATTCTTGGGAGATTGTTCTGGCAAAGCTAAAGAGAGGTGACTCATGATACAGAAACAGATTTGATACAGATAGCATACTATAATTAAATTAAATTAATTATTAATGATAATTAGTCAACAAGTGTACATCAGATGTCATAATATTATTCATGTTGCCATGCAGATCTGCTGCACTCATACTGTATTTAAGCATATTCATATCTATCCCTCGCTGTTTATTATTACCTTTATAAATACAAATCTGCACTGTTCTGCTTTTGGCACTTATGATTACAGGCTAAACTGCACTTTGTTCTCTCAGTACTTGTACTCTGTTGACAATAAAGTTGAATCTAATCTAACTGAAACTACAGAGAGATCTTTTTTTCTCCCTCTGTGACAAATATGATCTGTTTTGTAACTGTTTAGGCAGAGAAAATCACAATGAATCAAACATTTTCAACTCTGGTTTCCATTCACTCATATCAGAACAAGTCTGTGCCCAAATAAAACCCAGTTTTTAAGGGAATAGTCTGACATTTCAGGAAATTCTGTTTGGTCAATCAGATGGGAAGATTCAAATTTTTTTTTATCTCTTTTAGATCAGCTTAGCTACACTCCTAACTGGGATACAGTATGACAGTTCTGTCTGATATATTCCAGTGCTGATTATTGGCAATGGTGGAAAAAGTTTTCAGACCTTTCGTTCGTTCATTTTTTTTTTCTTTTGAAATGCCATTTGAAGCTGTGTGTAGCCTATTACAGATTTCAAACTTAAGATATTAGCAGATACAGATAAAATTAAATAAAAACCATGATAGATCTGATTGTAACTGCCTGTAGTGCAGAAACGAACATAAATGGAATTGAAGACTAACACCTAACTAAGCACTCAAGTCAATAAAACTAGCAGGTATTGATTACTGAAGATGTCTTAATTATTGTCTCATTCAGTTAACTTAGCAACTGAGCATTTACAGTGTACATTAATTTCCCAATAATTAATTTACTTTTTCACTGTTTGACAACAGTCTAAGAAATGTAAGTAGGGGATAAAAATGTAGGGGATAAAAGCAAACCATCTGAAGAACAAAAAAAAAAGAAAAAGAAACCCATAATTTTTTGTTGTTGTTGTTGTTGTTGTTGTTGGCAGAACAATTGAAACTCCAAAAGGTGACTTAAGTTTCTAGGGAAGCACAGTGCATTCACAAAAGGAAAAAAAAAAAAAATCTCAAAATTATGACTTTTGCCTCTTAATATTATTACTTCATAATTACAATAAGATCTTGTTAGAAATGGATATTCATAGAGATAAAGATTTTGTAATCAAAAGTAGCACCCAAAGCCTGCATGGCAGCTGGCAAACCAACACTGATGTGGAGGAGCAGAATCTTGAGAATTCATGGACAGAATCACAGCAGGTTAACTGATGGCAAACTGAATAAACTAGACTACTCACTGCTACACTGTGTGTGTGATTGAGATGTGATCATTTGTTTTTGTAAATGTGTTTTACTAGGAGTATCGTATGTACAGAAAGACCAGCTGATGCTTGAGGCTGAAATTATAACATTATCAAAATGTTCTTTTATGAGACACAGAATAATGCAGTGAAGCAGTGCCATTTTTGTCTGCTCACACTGGGTGTGTGGATGGAAAACAGTAACCTACATCACATTGCATGTGACCAGCAAATGAAAGTTCACAAGGTTGCACGATTACAACATGGCACTGCAATTCATTCTGATTCAAACAAAGTTCCGTTCAATTTGCCAATACTCGAGGAGCCCTTGTTTATATCTGTCCCTGTCACTCTGTGTTTTTATGCTGTTATGCACCTTACAGCAATAATAATGTCAAATTGAAAGTATGAAAACAAAAGCTACTATAGTGTAGCACAGTGTTGTAAAAGTGAATGTATTCATATACCAAATTCATGAAAACAGTTGTGTCATTTTTAAAACTTTGAAATCTCTTTAATTTTATTTTGTAGCTACATAATTTTACCTTCCTCTTATCTCATATTTGCCCTTGCAATACACAGGAAAATTTGGCATGGTGCATGTCTCTACTGTCATGCCTCCAACCTCTATCATTTCCTTTCCATCTCACTAGACCAAGCACTCCTCCACCCTGATGGAGCCACTCACTCCTTCTCAAGATAAGCATGTTTTGCAGAGGTAATGAAACTGCGTCAAGGTATTTTTACAGTTCCGCTCAACTCCAGTCCAGCAGGTGGCAGTGAAGTGCATATAAACTGGCTCACCAGCCGGTGAATAAACACAAAGAAGAGACCGGGGTCAGAGTTGAAAGTTGAACGTAGCAAAAACATGGTAGAACATGGGGATATCCGCGTGGTTCACCGAGGTGGCAGTAAAATAAACTTTCGGGAGCCTGTCATAACCAATGATTCAAGGTGAGTGTGTGTTTTCAGTCCACTGATTTTTAATTTTTGGTGGCAGAGATTCTCCCGGTTCTACAAGTTTTTGTAACCCAGAGAGATGAAGCCGGTGCTAGTCGTTAGCATTAGCTGCTAGGTAACTGTTGATATTGTTACTGCTGTTTACGAAGTATCACGAGCTTGTCTTATCGACACTGTGGCATCTTTTTCTAAAGATAACTTAGATGACTCACGTGCCATCATTACCATTGCAGTGTTTGGTCTGTAGACTAAGTTCTTGTGTAAACGCTGTTTATTTCTGTGTTGCTGAAGGTTCCTACTGTGCGCCTCAGGAGAGTGTGTCAAGGTGTTCAGCACATCCACAGAGGAGTGTGTTCACGACCTACGGGGACACACCGACCTGGTGACAGGTGTGCTGCTCAAACCCTCCAACCATCTGCAGGTACAGTCATTTCACCACACAGTTTGTTAACGGGGAAGAAGAGTACAGCTCTACCTCAGATAGAAGTACTGTTAACTTGTCCTGCAGAAGACTTCTTCTCACTTGGGTTGAAAGCTACTCAAGTGCAAGTCCCACAAAAGTAATTGCCTTAAAGGCTGCTTACAGTGATGAATGCATTTTATATGTTTATTTTCATCAACTTAATTTCCAAGTACCAGGGTAGTCACCTGAATTTTGTCTTTTCAATATAAATAGGCCAACAACTTACCACCCAGTTCCTCTCTATTTAAGTGAAGATTTCCAAACAAGCACATTATTTTTGGAAAAAAAAAGTTGTTCCATTGTTTCTGTTAATTTTTACAATTAATCCTAAGGTCTATTAAAGGAATACGTCACTCATATGTAGTCATGTTGTGTTACATTGAGTTAGTGAAAGAAAACTTTGGGGTTTTTGCATGCATCCATGAATAATGACCAACATATTGATTAATTAATTGATTGGGGACCACGTTTAACAACAGCAAACTATGTCAAAACATTCGTTTACAAACTCAACAACTTGTGGAATATCATCCAGGTCTCAATTTTATGTTCAGTACTTCGAAAACACATGCAATTTTGCTAAAAGCCTTAGTATATGAGTCTGACTTTGAAGAGAGCATAAATAAGTTTCACGTTCAGTTCAGTTTCAAAAAGTAATGTTTTAGTGGTAATGCAATTTAGAGTGTTTGGCAGATACTGAGCACACAGCTGGATAAATGAGACTTGGATTATTATACTGCATGAATATATTGTGTGAGAGTTCATAAATGGATGTTTTGATATCATTTGCTGCTGTTGTTGGGCTGGTCCCCAATCAATCGATAAATAAATATGTTTGCTGTTTTCTGTGGAGGCATGTCAGAAAAGAAACCTTTCTTTACAAATTTAAGGTAACGCAGTGTGACTGGCCAGATTTACAAATGGTGATTTTATGAATTAAGTATTCTCTTGTGATCATTTAATTGATTAATTGACTAATCTTTTCAGAACTAACCAATTTAGTTTGCCATAAAGGTCCAGTGGCATCTAGGGGTGAGGTTACAGAACTGAAACTTTTTCAGTGGGCTAAGTGTGTAGGAGAGCTATAGTGGTCGATGTGAAAATGCGAATGGCCCTAATTAGAGCCAGTGCCAGTTGTCCGTTTTGGGCTACTGTAGAACAACTTGACCGACTGTGGAAACACATTACCAGTGCAGCTATTCACATGAAATTTACTCCAGATTTTGGTATTGACACACTAAAACTATACAGATAAAAAAATCTTAACATTTCAATCCATAAAAAAAGTTGTGTGTAAAGGGGAATGACACAGGAAAAAGTATTGAACACAATAACTGAAATGAATTAATTAATTGGTGGAGAAGCCTTTGTTTGCAGTGCCAGCTTTGAAGATGCTAGCTGTATGAAGAAGTAGCTGTCAGGGTTTTTATCTGCAAGTGTTTTTGCACTCTTAAAGCCACAAATAAAGCTCCCTTAAGATCCATTTTTATTGGGATCAGCTACATATTCTTTGTCTGAGTTTGGAGTTAACAATTTCATCAATAAAACATTTTTAAAAGCATTGAAAAATGTTTTTGTTTTTCCTTTGACATTATCCCTGTTGTTGCAAGTATGAAACTGTTTCACAATTTGTAATTTTTAGCAGTTGTACCGTATGATTAATGTCTGTTCAGATGCGATAATTAATTGCTCTTGGCAAATTTCAGGAGCCGTGTTATGAGTTGCTTCATGTATTACCTTACTGAATAGTAGTTAGGCAGTTGCTGTTTATAAAAGGATTTCATTGTTCTGTTTCACTTCTTCTGTGATGATGTGTTCTTGTTACTGTTGCAGGTTTACTCTTGCTCAGCAGATGGCACTGTCAGACTTTGGGACTTCACAGATGGCATCCTTATTAAGGTACAGTTTGATTCTTATATTGCTTTTGCTCTGGTCTTTGCAGTCAGTATGGCTCATCTCACTTACATTGATATTGGAGAGCCCCCCCATAGCTATGAATATGACTTGATGCACAGTGACACTGGGCTGAAATCAGTTTTAGAGAGAGCCTTGGCAGCCATGTTTGACAGGTGTGTGATCTCTTCCAGACTTACGTCATTGGATACCCGGTATACTCCATCCATGCATCTGCAAACCATGAAGGAGTCATCTTTATCGTTACTCCCATGCTAAGTGACAAAAGATCTGGTAGGTCTGACAAATTTCCAACTGTGGTCATGCTTGGGTTGATGCCTAAGCTGTCTCAGCATTCATTAGCCAACTAGTGTGCTCTTGTATACGTGACTGTAATCAAAACTCTAGACCTTAGCACCTAGGAGTGCCATGCACGTAGTCACTTAGCTATATGAGAACAAAAGAGGAGAGCGATCAATAATAAAGCTGAAATGGAACCAAACTGCAGAACCACACTAGCTTCAATGCTTGCTCTCTTTATAAAGCTTCACACCTTTGTGTACAGCACCCTATTATTCAAATGTAAAGCTACATAAATGAAAGCTTCTGATTAAATCTCACCTGAATTTGCCTTGCTGAGATGTGTTAAAGCTTTTATGTGTAGAATATTTATGGGTTTGTAGCAGAAGTTTTTTTTGTCTGTAGAAATACGAAACAGTCTGGGTGAAAATTGGTGCAGTCCGTGTGTTCCTTTCAGTCCATTAATTCCAATCTGTCTGCTAGTTAAATCAAAGATGTGCACATAGGTATTTACGTGCACTGCTGTGTTTTACAGTTGATATTAAAGATCAGATACTTTGTCATTGCATATTAAACAAAACAATTTTTTGTCAGCAGTCCACTCCAGCATGTATGAATATATTATAAAAGAAGTCCACTAGGAGTTACTAGTCACAGAACATGTCAAATTATTCTGACGGGGGCTTCAACAATGATGGTGAAGTGGGATTTGGGTAAGAGGTCACTGGGGAAGAATGTGTAGCAGGCTGATGTTTATCACTGTGTGTGTGGGCGCCTGTGTGCGTTTGTTTGTGCAGAGTTGTTCCAGCTGGTTGCAGTACGTCTTCCACAGAGTGGAGATCAGCTGGTGGAGGCCCGAGAGCTTTCTGCTGTGCTCAGTGATGTCAGCTCCAATCCAGCAGCCACTGCCTTCGGCAGAGGGGTACATACACCACCACTACTGTCACCAACACATCTGAGACAGTTATTTTCCCAAAAGTGATACTCCAGTGGTATTGCCAGTGTATCAGAGCTTGCTGTTTTTAGAGGACTTATCAGAATCAGAAATGTTTTATTGCCAAGTAATTTTGCATTTAAAAGGAAATTGACTCGGCGATTTGGTGCATAACATTAAACACAGTGCAAAAATAAAGACATTATATAAAATACAATTAAGAACATTTACAAAATAAAGTTCCATAAGAGACAACATTTTTTGGCCATGAGAGCTAACTACAGCTTTAATTCAAATTGTGTCTGTCTTCAAAAACTTCAGTGGAGCCCGCTGGAGGCATAAAATGAGTCACTTTTAAATGGGCTTCAGATTTTTTGTTGTTGTTTTCTCCTTAATTGGACATATAGCATTTTAATAATTCACTCTTTTTGGAGTACACTTCCCTGTTGTAAACTGCTTTAGATTGACATGAGCATTTACTTAAGAACCGGTTTCAAATACTGATCCTTGGTCTGCCTTCCTTCATGTTTGTGTTAAAACCAAATGTTATCTTCCTCACAGGGGGAATATATTGCCTCAGCTAAAGGTTTGCAACTGGAGGTGTACTTCTTCAAGAAGCAGAAGTCATACAGGTGAGCCATGGTGTGAGATGCTTCAGTTGTGTGGAGTATTTTATTGAAGAGGGAAAATAAATTAAATATGATCACTTTGCACATTTTGTTTCAAATTGTCAAATAAAAGCACAAAGCATTCACAGCTTTTTATTGCAAATATCACAAAACAGTTTATTTTTTTTTCTGAAGACACACAATGATGTAAAGTGAAATTGTGACAAAGGTCATGAATCATAAAATCCACGACGATCGCAAACCCACATTTGCCTACAAAGCAATGAGGATGTTCACTAACACCTCCTGTCTGTTCTCATGTGTTAATAGGTTTTCCCTCAAAGAAGACAACAAGAAGGGAGGCAAGAACACATTCACGTGTGTCGCCTGTCACCCAAAAGATGACTGCATTGCTACTGGGCATGAAGACGGCAAGATTCGCCTGTGGTGAGTGTAGCAACAACATGGCCTTGAAACATTTACAGTCACATCCAGTGTTTTGATGATTTTGAACAATTCTTTAGTCAAAACATCTGCTGCTCACTTATGTTGCATGTGTTTTCCTGATAGCTGATCCAGTGAACTGAACTCCCTTAGCATGGCTGGAAACAGACTGCATTATTTTGTCCCCTCCTCTACAACAAATATACCTGACACAATATTTGCTTAATTAATCCCTTTTTACCAGTAAGGCACTTATTAGGTCTCTGTAGCCAGTGTGTGTTTATAAAGTGTATGAGTGTACCATTACTGTTTGTCCTTTCAGGAGAAACTTCAACCACAAGAAGGAGTACACATACTCGACCCTGCATTGGCACCACAGTGCTGTTAGCTCACTGTGCTTTACCCCAGAAGGTATGTCATTACCTGTTTTATTTCTTTCTTGCAGACAAGATTATTAATCTCACTCAAACCTGTTTCAAAATTTAAATTTGTGCTAGAATAACAAAATCAGGTCAGGATTTGTTTTGCTTATAAGGGCGGGTCTATCTGCCTTCTTCAGCAGGTTTTTCAAATTGAAATGCCCACTCAGCTGTTAGAAAAAAGCACTGACAAACATTAGAGAGACAATTTTTTTAAGTGGGGTTGTATGAGGTACTTATCCATAGTCAGTCTAATATTTCTACTGCTTTACCATGCTGTCAGACAGCCCTCTCCGCCAGAGAACTGAAGCCATTATATTGCACTCTTCAAAGCTAGACTCCACTGACAAAAACAGTAATTTTGCCTCACAGAACACAAGGAGTTACTGGTCTAGTCCTGCCAGAATTGGTTAGTTTGTTTGTGTTACTGAGTGACTTTTGGATCATTCCCTGCCAGTAAGGGGGTTAGAAGAATATAGCTATCGAGGAAGATCGATAACGCACATTCTTAAAGGAGGCTTGGCTTAGTCATGAAGAAGCACATTAGGTGGGTCAGGGGGTTCATATGAAGCAACGTCATCACGCAGAAAACTACGCGATCAGATTACATGGGGAAATGTTTTCAGAAAGGCTTCAGAAAATTTTGACGCCAAAACATACTTACTTTGATCAAAATTTGAATATTTGGATCTGAATACAACAAGCTACTGATGATAGCATTAATTGATTGATATATATATGTATGTGTATATATGTGTGTATATATATATATATATATATATATATATATTCCTGCCTCTATGTTCCTGCCTCTGTATCCATTTTGGCTCTGTTTTACCAGGCACTAACCTGTTGAGTGGAGGCATGGAGTCGGTGCTTGTCCAGTGGCGATACAACCAAGAGAGCCAGCGGGACTTCCTGCCCCGCCTGGGTTCTGCCATCACACACATCGCTGTCTCACCTGATGGAGCACTGTTCTGTACTTCACACAGTGACAACAGTAAGAGGCTGTAACCTGCATCACACACTCAGACAAAAACAGCAAGCTGTTCGGAAATATTTGTAATATTGGACATGCTGTTGTTGCCAGCATCTACTGGCCTGTAGTGGTACTACAGCATCAATGCACTATGGTTGCCTGGTTTAAACCCTGTAAGCTTTAGAGACTGATAGAGTTGAGAAAGGCAACACAGCCTGCCCCAGTGACTGCAGCTGTAAAATTTGTAGATAGAGTTGTTTCAGTTTGAAAGGAAGGCTGTAGTAAATGATTTCTGTTTCTTCTTGTTTCAGAGATCACAATAATCCAGAGCTGTGTTAAAGTGTCAGCTGTCATTCAGGGCCTGGTCAAAGGTGAGTACAGACTATATGTGGCAACAGCACTTAAATGGATCATAAACATGCTGTATGGGCTCATAAATGATAAATGTATCTATCATAAATAACCTTCACAGCTCTTGGAGAACAATCTCACTTCTAAGAAAGATCTTGCCTGTAATTGAAGAAGGTTTAATCCACTGATATTTTCATCTGAATCAATAAACCACTTACCCACGTTTTTGATAGGGTAGGTGCAGAAAAAAAAACAAATATCTCAACTGCAAATGGCAAATTTTGACTGTAGGTAGCAACAGTGCCGTGTTCAAAGACACTGACAGAAGACTTCAGGAAATCAAAAGCAAGTGCGACACTGTCGCAGCCAGCAAACATTTCCACACAGGGCTGGACTGACATATATAACTGGACTTTTGCCCAGACCAGCCCACCACAATCAGCTGGACATCCCCCATCCTGGTACTCCCCTTCAATACATGAACACACCAGCCAAATACCACTGCTTAGCTGAGTGGTATTGGAGTAGAGTGCAGATAGACTTATATACAAACAATATGTGATGTTAGGCCCTCCTTACACTGAGGGAGGACCATCCTACTTTCTTATAAAGATCACAGTGGTGTGTAGAGGTTTGAGAGTCTTCAAGGAACTAGAAACTCTTAAAATGCAGTCAGCTAGAGTTCAGTTTGCAGACAGCTAACAAGCTAGCTAGCAGAAAAAAACAGCATTTGTTATTTGTCATGTGTTATTTATTGTGTCAAGTTCAAATAGCTGCATTCCCTGTAGTGCTGCTTACCACTTCACCTTCATCGCCTGGCGTGCCTCCCTCTCCTACACTGTGAGCCTCCTCCTCTTCCCTGCCATCCTGTCCCTCTGCCTTGGTGGGATCCTGCTAGTCGTCCTCGGTGGACGACTAGTAGGATGGGGGTGGGCCGTGATTGGCCAGTGTTCAGATGAGAGACAAAACAGTGGGCCCATCATCTCTCTGCTCTGTGGGCCGATCAGCCAAAAACCAAAATAAGTTTAATAAAAAGAGAAAAAAAAGCTCAACCGGCCCACACTAGAGCGGCCCACCGGGAATTCTCCCGGTACTCCCGATGGCCAATCCATCCCTGTTCCCACGCATCCTGAAATAAACAAAGTTCAACTCACCTCGACCTCATCGGCAAGTCTTTATTGACATATTTAACCAAAAATGCTGTACTTGTACCTGTACCTGTCATGTATCATATCTTGTATATTATAATGATGCCACAGCAGATTGACTTGAAAAAAAATCTTTTTAGTTTATTCTGTATCAGCATGCAGAAATAAATTATGTATCCTTAAAAACTATTAAAAAGGTTACTCTGTGCACATAAAAGAAGGAATTCATTTTCACTCTTTTTTTCTTGTCCCTGGTGCAGGAGAAAGTGTCAGGACAGACCTAATGATGGACCCACGCAGCAAGTCCTTGGTGCTGAATGGGAGACCCGGCCACCTGCAGTTTTACTCCCTCCAAAGAGACAAACTGCTGTACAATGTAAGCACTCTGCTTTATAAACTGAACCAGCGATAGTACACCAGGTTGGTTTGTGGATTACTTTTAAAGGTATTCTTGGACATAGTGTAATATTTCAGTACCTGATATTGCATAAGTTCATGAGTACTTGAAGACAACTTATTTCAATTACAAACAGAGGTTCAAACACAAATCTGTTCTGATCTTCAGTCTCGCTTAATAATACTGTCAGCTACACCTTGGTGTGAATTATCTTCAGTAACTAAATCCTGAGGTCTGTCATCTTCTGTGTTTCCTACAGCTGGATATAGTGCAGCAGGAGTACATTCATGAGTCGGGCCTGGAGCAGTTTGAGGTGGTCAAAATGGCCTTTGATGCCTCTGGCAACTGGCTGGCAACAGTCGAAGAAAGAAAACAGAAGGTCACTGAGCTGGAGCTGAACTTGAAACTGTGGGCATTTGATGAACAAACACAGAGGTACATATGTTTATTTATAATATTTCTATATGCTTTCAGTCAGTCATGAACACAGACATAATTCAGTAGTAAAATGGTCTAAAAATGTTTTCAAGATTGTCATCCAGATTTGTGAATCATTGTCCTATCCCCTAGTGTTTTTATTAGTGCACTAGCAAAGTTTTTTTTGTCTTACTAAAACACGGTATCACCTGCAGTTTTGTGCTGAACACAACTATCTCGGCCCCCCATGAGGCGCGGATTACAGCCATGTGCTTTTGCCACGCCATCGACAGCCAGACCACCATGCTGGTCTCCACCAGCAAGGACGGACACTTCAAAGCCTGGCAGCTGGCTGCACCAGCCCACACAGAGGGTACGCAGTCTAGCTCAGTTTCTGACCTTGCATTTTTCCTAAAGGCAGAGTTTGGCTGATCTGTTCATGTGTGGTAATATTTACCATGCTCTTTTAACTTGCTGTTCTTTTCTATTGTACTAGGCTCTGACTTCTTCTTGGTGTGCATCAACAAGTTTTTGTTCAAAAACGGAGTCAATTCTCACTTAAGTGCCTGCATAGCTCTGTGTGATTTGTCAGTATTCATAGTAGTTAACCTGTAATCAAAGCTGTTTTCAAAATCTGCCTTTAACCACAAAAGTTCAGGCTCTTGCACCAAAATGGCAAAACATGAAAACATCACTAAAACATCATCCTTAGGATTCATTTTCTCTCATTCAGAAAATATTGAGGACACAAAATCGATTGTTTCTGTTTTTGTTGAACTTTGTGTGAGGTTGACCCACATTTTTGGGTAAATTGTTGGGCCCACACAGCAAAATACAGGCTGTAACTGTATTGTTTTAGTATTTCTAGCTCTGTCAATCACTTTTCTTTGATCTCGATGACTGAACATCACAAGGTCAATGTATAATTCATCCTTAAAGTATACTTGAGCAAGGAACTGTAGGAGGGATATATATATATATTACCTTTAATCATATGTAACTATCAGGCCAAACAGACAAATGTGTAACATTTTAGTTGAGATTCTTCCTAAAACATCTAAACTCCATATCATGATGTCCACCCTGCCTTCAGTTGCATGCAGGCAAGGCTTTTATCCAAAGTGCTTTGTACTACCAAGATTTTTTTTGTGGCTTTACAACACATCAGGTTAAATGTTAGATTTGAGCCAAATTAGACTTAATTTCTCACTAATTCAACACTCTCTGTGTCTGTCTCCCTCTCTCTGTCCTCTTGAACATGCCAGTAGATGAAGGTCCTTCCTGGTCCTGTGATTTCGTCGGAGCCTATCACTGCCTGGCGCCTGAGTGCTGCTGTTTCTCAGCCGATGGCTCCCTGCTGGCCGTCAGCTTTCAGGAGGTAGTGACTGTGTGGAGCCCAGCTTCCTGGGAGCTCCTGACAACTCTGTCACAGCCGCCAAAAGCCATCAGGTCAGAGCATAAACATGAACTTAAACACCCACACTTTCACCAGGGCTGGGTTTTGGACTTCAATACATTTTCTCGTGAAATGTTTTGAAGTGTATGTGAATGACATTAGCTGACAGGAAGTACACATGGACCTAATATTTTGCCTAGCAATGTTATTCCAGTGAAATGATCTAATGCAGTGTTTACGCTATGAGCGACAGTGTAACTGCCTAATGTTATCGCAAAGTCGCTGGTGAAGTGTTGCTCAAGTACTTGTTAATGTAGTTATTTTGTCACAGGTTTGTGTGTGTCTGCTACTTGCCACAAAGAACCTCAATTGAATATCGACTAAACTTAGTATTTAGTTAAAAAAAAAAAATCTGGTTTATATCAGTATCTGACCTGCATTTTAACCTCACATTTCTCTTGCCCCATTGTATCTCTGTGTGCATTGCAATGCATAGAAAGCTATCATAGCATCAGCTAATTAAGCTAAATAACACAGTATCACAGCTAGACACAAAAACCTATGATTTATTGACGCTTCACTGTGTCATTGGAGCAATGACAAAAGCTGACGTCAGCTCAAGTTTGATTTGTAGTGCATCACAATTGTCCACAAAGAGTGTCTGGCGCCAGTTTGTAGCTTCATGTCAGCGCCTTCTTCTGAAAATGACTTGTAGCCTATTGCTGTGTTGCTTGTAGTGTGAACACAGCTTTTCAATAGCCCTGGGCTAACATAGCCCTTTTTCACATACACATTGTTAAACCAGGCTTAACCTAGGCCAACGGCTACATGATTTAGGCTGCGCTTCTGCTGGCCTGGGGTTAATTGTTGAAACTTGTTTAAGAGCGTTGCTGAAACATCACAAAGAGCGATAACAGGGGGAACTTAAAGACTTAAAAAGAAGACACCTGTTGTTTTATCTTTAAGTCAAATCTTTTCAGTTTTAAGTTCGCAAGCTTGCTAGGTATCTCTGGTTTTGGTTAGTAGTAGTTACCATGGTGACAGCATAAACATAAAGCATGTGCATACTGATGACTTGAGTTGTGTTATTGGAGAACAAAAATGCAATGAAATTCCATTAGCTCCATTTCACACTGGTGAATTTTAGCCCTGTGTTTAATCAATTTTCAGGGGATAACTGCTCAATCTCTGGGCAAACCCTGCTGCAGAGCAGGGCCAGCAAGCCCTAGGATAAAGATGGGTTTATTAGCCAAAAAAATGCCTGAATGGGCCTTTTCGACCGCAGACATTTTGACGAGTCATAGTAGGAAAAGCACATGTGAAACTGATAACCTCAACAATGGCTCAGTTCCATGTGAGTTGCAAGTCTCCCAGTAAGCTATTCAAGTAACCCACATGCACAATATCGTCGCTTCCACTAAGTGGAATGCAGCATCATCAATGTTATGAAATACAGCTGTGCTTTTCCTACTAAGATATCTTGAAATGTCTGCTGTGAAGAAGGTCAGCAGACATAGCAGAAGAATGAGTTTGAAAGCTTTCTCAGGCCCAGGCTAAAGGCTCATTTAGCCTGTGCAGTATGAAAAACACTAATGGGGTTGGTCACCTTACAATACAATCTCTCTCTCAATACTTTCTTACTGGCTCTCAGCTTTAAGCCTGTTGGTTCCTGCTGAAAACAGATGTTTAAAAATGGGCCACAATTACAAAGTTTAATTAAAAAAGAAAGGACCCCACAATTTCCTTAAGCAGTTTTAGCATGGATAAATAGTGCATTTGTTGGGGACTATTCACAGCTGTGGATTTACACAATTTTGGTGTTTTAGTGGGTTTTTACAGCACAGGACGATATATGTGGGATTAAGTCAAATCAATTCATTGTTGGTTTTGGTCTTTTCGTGTAATATGCTGACAAACACGAAAAACCTAGAATATTGCCAGCCTTATCCTTTTAGGCTCAGAGTGTTACGAGATGTAGGGTGTTGGGCTAGTTAAATGAATAGTTTTCATCTGCTGTGCTTGACAGATTTATAAAAGAAGAAGAGGAAAGCCCCCTGCTCATAACTCTGTATACATGTAACTCCAATAGAGTGTGCCAGGGCTGACGTCAAAACCCAGAAGTTTAGCATTGCGCTGGTTCCTGGAAGACAAAGTGAATCCGTGAATACCCATACTACCATACTATTTAGTATGCCAGAAAAAGAATTAGTGTGTCCCAATTAGGGCTGGGTACCGAAACTCGGTACTTTTTGTACTTTGCACCGATTCACGTCGGTATTACCGAGTACCGATTCATTTAAAATGAAACGGTGCCAAATTTCGGTACCTGAGGTGGAGGCGGAGCGAGAGCGCATGACTCGCACCTCAGACTCAGCAACAATGGCGACAAAATCAATGTGCAGACAAAAGTTAACGTGCAGCACTGTTCCTAAATGTTCTCAATAAAATGTTGAAACTGAGAAGTTTAGACTATGGGCCCGAACGACGCATAGTGCGTCCAAATTCACACCCGTTCTTCTCTGTGGATTTTCTCCGCGACCGTGTGTCATAGCGAGAAGCCACGCATATCAGCGGGAACAGCAGAATTGTAGCTTTCCGACAAGGCCAAGCACTCGTCGGTAATCCAATGTTTTCACAGCGAAAAATTACAATAAAATGATGTGTAACAGAGCTTTCATACAGCTTTGCACACACATTACTCTTGGATGGATTACTCGCGAACGCAGGCTCGCACAGAAATGCCACGCATATCACATGAAAGCGCAGGACCACACACA